TTATGATTTAACATCATACCTCACATTCTGCCCGGACTCCAGAGCTTTCCAAACTGAAGAAGCCGTGAGTCACTGGGCTTGGAGGGGAGGGGTGTTTGTTTGTGGAGGACTTGTTTCCCGACCTCGATGAATCACATGTATAATCACCCCAACTGCATCCTGTCTGGGGAAGTAACCAAAACCCCTATTTCTGGCCCCAATGGCTTTTTGGTTTTATGAGTAAATGCCACTGACATGTCATTAAATAAATGCCCTCAGAAAGCCCCCAGCCAGTGCCATAACCTATGACAGTCAGGTTGTAGAGGAGCATTCTTGCGAACACAGCACAAGACAAAGGAGTTAACGTTATTCTCCTTGCCTGGACCACTGCTCTAGCTTCTAACTGCGACCTTGCATCCAAGTTCTTTTCAAACATCTGTTACACTCTTTTCCAATAAATCACAGGTATGATCATGTAATTCTCCTGCAGAAAAATATGCGATGGTTCTCATCATCAACTGAAAACAGACCAAACTTTTTAATCTACAACTCCCTCTAGATTCTGGCTCTGACCTTCTCCACCTGCCATACCTTCCTGCATGCCTATATAACCATACGCTCCCAATAAGATGAACGATTTTCTGATCACATACAAATCCTATACTTTGCTCTGTGACTTTGTTCCCTGTTTCCTCTTAGAATGCCCACCTCCTACTATTTCCAAATGTCTAAAATCTACATACTCTTTGAGTCTCACCAAATGCCACTTCCTCCACAGTATCATCAGTGATGTTCCAACAAGGAAGAAATATGTCTCTTTGAGCATGCGCAGATTTTTTAATCTGTGCTCCCTGTCCATTAATTACTTCTAATTGCATTATAGACACGTACACGCATGCTCATTTCTCTGATAGATCAGTTCCTGAAGAATATCTGAATCTTAGTCAATGTGATACTCCTTCAACTCCTAGTGGTGCGTGCCAGAGTGCACACTCCAAATAAACATTGTTAGAGGAAAACCTGAATTAGATCAATTGTTTAAATCCTTATCTTTGGCTCAGAATCTTCAGGAAAGGTCTGACTTATAATTTTTTATTCTCAACTCTCTCGTTTTATCCCTTACCTCCTTTCCAAGAAAATATAAGATTCAGAAAGTCTTTGGTCTCTGCAAAGAACTTGCTTTATATCCATAGATCTCAAAGGCAAGGTATTCATCCCAGCCTTCCTTCCTCCTATATCCAGTTCCTGTGGCCCACCTTGCTAGTAGATACAACAAGCTCAAGTGAGAAAATATAATTTTGACATAAACCCAGTAAAAGGAAAACATACTTGAGAGGTACTGCCATTTCAAAAAGCAAACTTAAAAAAGATAGCATAGGGCTTCCCTGGTGGCGCAGTGGTTGAGAGTCTGCCTGCCGATGCAGGGGATGCGGGTTCGTACCCCGGTCCAGAAAGATCCCACATGCCGCGGAGCGGCTGGGCCCGTCAGCCATGGCCGCTGAGCCTGCGCATCCGGAGCCTGTGCTCCGCAACGGGAGAGGCCACAACAGTGAGAGGCCCGCGTACCGCAAAAAATAAAAAATATAGCATACTCCACAAAGACTTTGCTGTTACTGGCTATTTCAGAATATCTGTGCCCCAGTGACAATTTCAGGGTGGACACATTCCTTCAGTGCGGATAAGCGAGAGTTGAAGCAATAAAGCTTAGCAAAGCACCCTCCTCTCCTTTTTGTTTATTCGTACCATTCTGGTTATGAGAATAGGGAGGTAGAAGCAGAACAAGGTTAAAATCACCCATGTCAAGGTCAGATACAGAGGGAACAGAATGTCAAGAGTTTTGCTTCCTCAACTGTCTTTTAGCAACGAGCACTTCTGCGCAGATGAAAGAGATGGACGGCCATCACTTCCCCATGAGAGCCACCTCCACAGGCCGCTTCCGTCCAGGCTGCCATCAGGGCGGGGCCCCTCCCTCTCTAGAGGCTAAGTCCTACCCACACCACTTACTGGCTGAATGACCACGGAAAAGTCTGCAATACCTCTGTCCTTTAAATTGCAAAAGAACGTGGTCAGACTTTATAAACTGTAAAGCGCTGCTTAAATATTAGTTGTTTGCGTAAATTCAAAGACAACTGGTTTTGTTTTTGTTTTCATTACCCTACACCTGCAGTCAGCAAACTTTTTTCTGTAAAGGGCCAAATAAGAAATACTTTAGGCTTTGTGGACTGGATGGGGTCTACTGCAACTACTTAACTCTGCCTTTATAGCAGGAGAGCAACCACTGACAATATGCAAATGACAGGATATGCTTGGTTCCGATAAAACTTTATTTATAGAAACAGGTGGCAGACTGGATTTGGCCAATGGGCCATATTTGCAAATCCCTGCCCTACATCTTTGGAGGAAATGAAACCCCAGAGGCAGACAGAAGGGCTTACTAAAATCTTTCCCATTGCTAATGATTTTGTCACTTCTTGTGAGCAACTGTCCTGAGGCTTACAGACATCTCTTTCAGGTACTTTTTGAAATCAGAGTTTTAGTTTTGTGTATTACCATCACCACCTTCATCAACATCCTTTTGGACCTGAGAAGTATTACTGAGACAGGCATAAAAGAACCCTAGTTTTCTACACCTACCACTTGACCACACTCTCTTCTGGGAAAGACAGCTCTGATTATTGTTGAAGAAAATATCAATCATACTTGCGGTGAAAGGTCACTATATTTTTTAACAAATTGGTCCTTTGAGCAAGATGAATTTTAATGGATTGGTTTATTAGCCTAAAGGTTGAACCAGACTGAGAGTAACTGAATGATTTGCTCATAATTAGTATTATTTATAATTATTTTACTTGGGAAAAAAGTATCACCTTAAATGTCAGGATGTTTTTTAATTGCTTCAACGAGATTCAAAATAATTGACTTTGCAAGTGTATTTAAAAAAAAACTCATTTAAAATTATCTAAAGCTGCTGAGAGTCTGTCTGCAAGAGGTAAGATATTGATATTCATTACTAGGAACAGGGCAGAAATTGATCCATGATTTTTTCTTAACCACACGAATTGTGTATTGTGGTCACTTCTGGACTCAAAAAGAGCTGGAATGCTGATAGGGTGATGTGTCTTTCCTCTTGCCCATTAAATCTGTTCTCTAAGTAAGTATGCTGTGTGAATGTCAGCATATGTCTTTTACTCAAATATATATTTGCATATATTTTATATTAAAAAGGGAGTAAGTACGTGCTTGAAAATAGAAGGGATACACACGTGCTTGGAGGTTGTAGAAAAACACAGTCTATGTACATATTGTGCATGTATCCACGTGATTTGGATGGGATGCCGACTTCTTGAAGGTGAGTAGGTGTATCATTTAGCATCTCTGTAAATATTTATCGGTCAATTGGTGGAGAAGAAAAGGAGAGTACATTAACATCTGGGGAAAGATAGCTTTTAAAATAATGCAAGTTGTAAAATACGGATAAATCACTAGTAAAAAAACCTGCAGCAGAATAACAATGATGATACCTTATAATTATGTAACACTGTAGAGTTACAAACTTTTGCTGTGCTCAGATATAATCTCAGGAGTGCCTCACATCTACATCTGGATGCAGCAAGGAAGGGTAGTAAGGACTTCACCTGACAGAAGGGGGAGAGATGGCTCAGTGAAGTCCAAGGATTTGCTCCCAGTCTACACTGCCTTCCCCGTATTCCACACTCATCTGGAACCCGCAGAAAGGGTGAATGTGTCCACAGGTATCAAAGCCAACCTCAGCAGCCTTCACAGGTCGCCTCAACCAGCCTGACTCAGAATGCAGACCCAAGTTTCCCACGTGAGGGGTTTTAGTGAGTTAAGTAACAAACGGACTGGAAAGAACATCCCAGGCAGGGAATACGGTGACGGGATTAAAAACACAGCCTCTTGTTCACTTCTTCCAAGCATATTCAGTCTGAGCATGTGCCTGAGACACGGTGTGACACTGACTCGGGTGGCACAGAGTCCAGGACACAGCCAAACCGCTCTTCCAGGGAGCAAAGCAGACACCATCAATCACTACCTGCATGTTTGAGACATAGAAAAATGTAGCCGAGGCTGGGAACGAGAACATTCGAAGATGGCTAAAAGGGAAAGAACACGAAGTTTCCCACTTATCTGCCAAAGACACGCATCTATACAGATATACACACACACACACACACACACTCACAGGTTCCTCCAAAGCTCCGTAAGAAAATACCCTGCTGAGAGTAGTAAGGGTATATTAACTAATTTTTATTAATGCCATCTTTTATTTGGCTAGCAATCATAATCTATTAAGAGCATTTATTCACATTATCTTACTTATTCAACCCTCAGAAAAATCCTATAAGGCTCATCAGTAATATATTATTATCTCCCTTTTATAGACAAAGAAAACAGAGACAAGAGGTTTCCTTGCTTAAGCTAATCTCACTAAATGGCAGAATGAGAACTTGACTCCTAGTCATTCCTGAGAGCAACTGTGGGAAACTGGAAGGAAGGAGGGAAAAGCCTGAGACATTGGTTCAGAGTGGGAAGAACCTGAACACACTGCTGTCAGACCAGAATTCTTCCTCGTTTAGGTCAAAAGGCCGGCGTAGGTGTGGCCCTGTGACACACAACCATAACGGCGAGAGCGACTTCCAGGCACACTTACTCACTTTGAATTTTCTTGTGCAACTGAGCGTTTGCTCTCAAACTCCTGGCCTCCAATGTCCTGTGAAGTTTCTGGGCAGCTGAGTTGGAACCAACTTCAAACAAGTTTAAGTCTCTGATTCAGCCCCCAAACCCTCCCTCTCCGGCTCTGTGGTCAGTCTTTTGCATCACGACCTGCGAGCGAGCAGTTTTTCTTTTGCACTCCTTTGGGGCTCCTCCCTCACTCTCCCTCAATCTCCCAGGTCCTGTCTGCACTTCTCCCCCTCCGTCTCTCCTGTCCATCCACTTTTCCCACCATCAGGGGCTCTGTGCCCCGTGTGCCCCTCCATCGTCCTCTCCCGGGTACCTACCTGGGCTCGGCAGCCACAGGCACCTTCCGGCTGCCCCTCGGCTTTCTTGGTTCTCTGTCTGATGCTGTCTGAAGCCGCCTGCCTCCATCCAGGGCCTGGGATCCATGAAAGTCTTCAAGCTCTTTGTTACTTTTCCACCTTAGTTGATGATGCTAGGTAAATAACAACAAACCAGAAAAGATGGCATATCAGCTGTGGTTCTCACCCGAAGCTTCCAGAAGTGTCAGCTCAGGCCCCAACATTGCAACAAAGGAATCTAACAGTTGGGTACGCGAAAATCAGTTAGAGGACCGGAGGAGAAAACTTCAGCGCTTCCCAAATTCTGCTGCCCTCCGGGGGCTCCCCCTTGTGGAAGATGCAGGGCATGGCAAGGCGGTACCCAGGCGGGTCGGGGCCTCCGGGAGGAGGGGGAGAGGAGCTCACACACCCCAGGGGTGCGCACCCCCAGGGCTGTGGAGTCCCGCTCCAGCCATGAATAACAGCCCCTGTGTGAGCCCCTCTGTAATTAATCAGGGAACCGCTTTGGGGAGAGACAAGAGTTCCCCATGCCTGGGGGTCTCTGGTCCAGGTGAGTATGGCATGAGTCATGAGCTTGCACAGTTTACACTCTGTATGGACGTGGTGACTGGCAACCACTTGCCCCTTCTTCACGTCCAATTCCCTCACCAGCACAAATGTATCATAAGGTCGGACATCCACACAGGGCTCTACCGGTGAGACAGGCGTGGTCTCTGCCATCTGAGGACAGGGAGATGGTCCAGGCTCTTGGACTCTGGCCAGTGTGGGCACCCATCCTTTTGGAGTCCTGGCAACTTCCTGCTCCCCACTTGATGGAAACAGACTGTATGTTCACATAGTATCTTTCTGCGGAGAGATTCCGCCTCATTCATTCCCACCTACCCTGGCAGTTAAGTAGAGTAGGAAATCAAATATAGCACTCTTTCTGCAAACAGAATGGGAGGCTCATGCAACCTAGAAAGGTGTCCAATGCTCTAGAAAAGCCATCAGTGGAGCTAAGGGCCCAGGTTTCCCGACTTCCTCGTGCCTCCTGTGCCTAGACTGTGTTCTGCCTCTGGAGAGCAGGGGAGGTGGGGCTCCCGGACCTTCCTCAGTGCAGGGCGATGAGCGGCACCCTGAAGGAGTATTGATCGACACGGTGGCTGTGAAGACCACGTGCTGGGTGTGACACAGACATCTGGACCCAGAGCGAGCCTGCCGGAGAGACTGTGTCATTATGTCAAAAGCTGGGGAAACAACCAGTGGGCCTACTGGGATGCTCTTTATTTGCCAGAACCTAGTAAGGAAGCTGCAGAATGACAACAGTGCCCCGGCCAGAGTTCACATGCCACCACGTGTGTGGTGACACATTATCTCATTTCACCCTTATACCATTTCTGAGATGGAGTCGGGTTAACCCCATTTTATAGATGAAGAAACTGAGTTCAGAGTGGTTAACTGCCCATAAGATAAGCGGCCATGATAGGGATCAAACCTAAATCTATTTCAGCCTAGAGCTCTTCTCACCATATCACATTGCCTCTGTGACTCTTCTAGCTGTCCTGGCCAGGGGACTCGGGCCACGGCATATTAATTTCAGCAAAGCCAAATCTCAAGCCAATTCCCGCTGATCTCTGTTTAAACTCCATTAGCTCCCTGATGTTGGTAGCTGCTCTGTACTGAACCACACAGAAAGACTGAGCTGGGAGTAAAAATATAAAACTCCACTTACTAAAAACCATCGCTTCTTCATTGGCTCTTTCTCCATAAGCAACCTCGACACTACAGAACCAAAGATAAAACGAACACAGAAATACCCTGGGCAAAAGTAGCTGAAATAATGTGATGAAGGAGACGTGTCAAGTCATGATATGGACTCACTAAATATTTCTATACTATACCTATACTGGGCTCTGGGCTGAATGTGAAAGAGGCAACCCACCCTGAAGACACTTACATGTTGTTATAAACTGAAATCAAGTTAAAAACAGCAACAAGGATTTGGAGAATTCAAGGAAAGCTGCAAAAACAAAAAAAAGAGATTCCTTTCATGTAATTGGATCTCAACCTGAGGACCTTCAGTGACTGACTGCTGTGAAGGACGGAATAAAAATCCAGGAATACTTCTCAAAGAGAAGGAGCAGTGGGAAGCAGCCACATAGCACAGGGAGATCAGCTCGCTGCTTTGTGACCACCTGGAGGGGTGGGATAGGGAGGGTGGGAGGGAGGGAGACGCAAGAGGGAAGAGATATGGGAACATATGTATATATATAACTGATTCATTTTGTTGTAAAGCAGAAACTAACACACCATTGTAAAGCAATTATACTCCAATAAAGATGTTAAAAAATAAAATTTAAAAAAAAAGAGAAGGAGCACGCGAAGGACACATGCTCATGGGTGGAAGAATAGGAAAATGAGTGGAGTGGGAGGGAGAGTCTTGTTTCCCTTTGGGCTGGTCGGTGCATCCCGTTCTGCGCCACCCCAGGCAAAATGGAGGATGCTTATAATAGAGCAACCATAGGAAAGAAGGGATCAGAATTCATCTCAGGAGGAATCTGGAAAAGTGGAAACGTTTAAGCAGGTGAAGATACGACTCCGTACAGGAAATGACTGCTATCTTCAAATATCCAAAGGGCTCTCCGGTAGAAAGGGACGGGATTTGCTCTAGCTTTCAGGGAATACGATGGAACCAATGGGGAGAAACTCCAAAGAGGGTGCTTTTTGACTCACAGAAGAAAAATACTCTGCTAGCTCAATCCAAAACTAGAAGGATCACTTCCTGTCTGGAGAAGGTCAGGAGGGCTCTGCCATTGGAAGTTCTTTGGTCAAAGGACGGGCCCAGGCAGGAAGACCTTCTGGACTGAAATAACCCTTGGGGATCCCTTTAGCTCTAAGCGTGTTGGGGTCTCTGAACAACCTGAGTTCCAAGCGGAGAAAGTGGACAAGAGAAATGCAGGAAATCCTCACACAGAGCATATAACTCCTACTTAGGGATCACATGTCCTAATATATTCAATGACCACCTAAATGCCAAATGTGCTTACGCCTTTTCCTCTGTTTCTCTTGAACAGAATTATTTATTTTACTGTCTCAGGAATTCCAATATTTAAGTATCTCCTAGGTGAGGCAAACGCCCTTTAGAATAGTGGAAAACACAAAGGAGAAGGCCACACTCCCACCCTCTCATCAGTTTAAGGAGAATCTGAGGTTTTAAAAGAGATGTTTAGAAGCCAACTGGTCAAAGACCCCCACCCCTCATGTCTGAATTCCTTCCTTATCTTCCCTGTTTGAGTGTTGCCTGATCTCTGTTTGAATGCTGCCTCCAAAGCTAATTTCATTGTTGGCCATTCCAATGGGGAAATTAGCAAAAATATACACATGTAAAATGCATCAGCAAGACATGGAAACAAAGGCAAAGAAAAATGGTACCTTTAATATGCACTGTATCAGAGTATAAAGACAGAGCCTAATATTAATAAGGATTATAAAAAGTCAGATTATAGTAAATTTTTAAAACGCCACCTCCAAAGCAAATAAACTTATTTACAAAATAGAAACAGACCCACAGACAGAAAATAAACTTCTGGTTACCAAAGGGGAAGTGGGGGAGGGATAAATTAAGAGTTTGGGACTAACATATACACACATTACTATATACAAAATAGATAACCAACAAGGACCTGCTATATAGCACAGGGAACTCAATATTTTGTAATAACCTATAAGGGAAAAGAATCTGAACAAGAATAAATAGATAGAAAGATAGATAGATACATATAAATGAATCACTGTGCTGTACACCTGAAGCTAACACATTGTAAATCAACTGTACTTCAATGAAAAAGTGAAAAAATAAAGTAAAATAAAATAAAATAAAATAAAATACCACCTCCAGTGTGAGTGGCCACTACTTAATGACACATGGTACTGGTAAAAAGCATAGGTGACACTGTTGCTCGTCAGGCTATCTTTTGCGTATATGTGCAAGCCTTCCAGTGCCGGGTGGGAAGATAGAATAGGGGCAGGAGAAATTAAAATGGTGAAGGTTGCTAATAAGGAGGAAAGCAAGGTATGGGGCTTTGAGGGATGCTGGTACGTGGTATGTATTTCACTTGCTTGTATGATGGGGATTGGGGCAGAGTTATAAAAATGAGTGCAGAGCTGGTGGGCATGGCAGACAAGAAAAACGGGGCATTAAAGAATTGACCTCTGATTGAGTAGAGAGGATGGAGGGCTTAAGTGGAGGAGGGAAAAGACATAGAGTTTAGGGGTGGAGGAAAAGGGAGAAACACGAGATCAGTGAGGGAATTGAGAGGTAGGGAGAAGTGAGGAGAGAGCCTCAAGCGAGGTCCAAGATACTTGGGATGTTTCCAAAACCATCGTGGGGTCTCAAGAGATGGTGAGAGGTGGGGATAAGGGTAAATGTTTAGGGGGATGCAAGAGACAAAGCCCGGAAAGATCTCCGGAGTGGAAAGAAGCAGAGAGGAAGCTAGATTCATCATAAGACTTAGTCTCTTCCTGGCTGCAAAAGACTGTTAATCCATCAGAAAAATGTGAATCCGTCAAGGGTTGACTGAACACCTCCTATATGCTCAGACATGTGATAGAAATAGAAATCAAAGTGTTAGTAAAAAGTCATGCTAAAGAATGTCCCGTAGTAAGCTTAATTACTATCAGTCAATTAACAATCGTTGATTTAGGAACTACTATAGCTGGGGACCACGGTCAGCACGAGCTATACCGTTGGGATCACCAGGCCTATCGACATGGAGGTCACAAATAGTGGGGTGGGGGGGGTAGAGCCAAATGTAAAACTGCTACGAAGAATTATAGGGTGCTTCAGAGAAAGATGACGTACAAAAATAGGGTTCGTGATTTTCACATTTTTAACAAAAAAGAGATGTGGGAAGCCAAGAGAAGCAGGAGTCAGGCCACGGCAAGTTTCTTCCCGGCCTGAGACTGGCAGAGAGCGTTGCCCGACAACTTCTCAGGGTCCAGAGCAAGGGGGCAGATGCCAAGCCCAGCAGAGGACTGCTGGGGACTGGCGCAGAGCCAGACTGGGTAAGAAACTGACTCCACTCCTCAAGGACATCAGGAGCTCATGATGGAAGGAGGAAGCCTTCTGCCTGAGCTCCTTCCCCTCTGGACCCCA